GTATTGTTTATATCTCCACAACGGCTTATCCGTTTGAGCTGAAATTTCAAATTTCTTCCTAACTCTGTTAGGGCTACCTATTGTAAAAATATCAGCCAAATCGGTGAGATTTATTGAGCAGCGCTCTGTATAAATCGGTCGTGGCTTACGTGCAATGCCTCCTAATCAGAAAGTTTCAAGCGCATCTCAAGAGCTAAGAGTGAAGGCAAAGCAAGTCTAGTCTCACAAGCACAGGTAACAGTTAACGCACGGAGGTCGTGATCACACACGGATCTAGCAGGATGTCAGCGCAAAGTTTCAAGCAAAACGGAAACTCATGCGAATAAGAGCATTATTTAGTTCAAATAAGGGTTCGTAAGACGGGTGGCCGGTTAATTCGTCGCATGAATAATTCGTGGCAAGACTATAATTCAATTATGAAATTGTCCTGCGGCGAATTGTTCGTGCGACGAATTGTCCTAGAACCTGTAAGACGGTTAGTGAGAATACTCAGCTTACCAAATTATGTCTTTAGGTCAAGGCGAATAGTGTTAGATGACACAATGTACTGTGTGAAAGGAAAGCCAAAAAACTGCGGGCCACTCGTCCATAGGATGTAGGTATCAACAGATGAAGAGAGAATCTACACCCTCACATATACCCACATCTACATCCAACATTAATGAACACCCACAACACACACCCACAATTACACCCAGGCCCACATCAACGCCCACACACGCAAACCCACCTCCGATATTTGCACGGTCTGTATTCTTGCAAAATATAGAAAATGTTGTATGAAATCGATACCTTTTCCCGTATTCTTACGGATTAAATTATCTCGTTCTTTTACATGCTGAGATTAAGATAGTTTTTTCAGTTTGCACATTTTATTCAATTAGATACTCATCGATTTTACTGATATTTAAATCATTTATACACACTCAAAATGGTTACAGGTGGTGAAGACGAAAAGATCGCTCAACGTGTTCTGCGTTTGACAGATATTGCCGGAGAACCGAGTGAATTTCTTATGCCCATCAGTGGTTATGAGAAAATGCCACTTGTTTCGCTTGAAGAAGCGGTTGAACCACTTGTGTCAATTTTACCAGTAGTTAAAAGCTACGCACATGCAGCCAAACAAAAATGCAAGAAGCCAGCTGATAATTTGACACCAGATGAGTCGGCTTCAATAATGCTCTATTCAATGGGATGGGAGCCGCTGGAAGAATGTCTTTATTTTGCTTTAAATGCTACGCTACGGTCAACAAATCGAGCAAAACTTAAACCGTGGTTTCTCTATCTTCGGCTGCTTCTCACGGCATTATTTCGCCTTTCACCGATTCCTCCACTCATTGTGCTTCGAGGTGTCAAATTAGATTTGAGCCCACAATTTCAAAAGGACGAAACGGTTGTATGGTGGGGCTTTTCTTCATGCACTACTTCGCTCGAACTTCTCCAATCAGAAGAATTTTTAGGTAAACATGATACAAGAACAATGTTCTACATTCAATGCCATTCAGCTAGAGACATTCGCAAACATTCGTTTTATCAATCTGAAGATGAACTACTTTTACTCGCGGCTACTGAGTTCAAGGTGAAAGGCATTCTTGATCAAGGTCACGGTCTTCGCACTATTCAGTTACAAGAAATCCAATCACCTGAACCATTACTCATTCCGCCTCCGCTTACTACCGACTCGACTTATTCACCTTCGGAAAAATTCCACAGCCTACAAACGAATAACGATGTGACTGTATCCGATGTCAATCAAATTCAACCTGCTACAAGTAAACCAGAATGCAGCTCACTACAGCAAGCAGATGTACCAATGAAAATTCCACCGAAGTCTGGTATGTATTGGCACAGAGATGGATGTGATTGATATTACAGCGATTCAATCTTGCTGCCAGAGATCATATTTGACTGTTTCTTAAATAATCATGGGAGACACTCAGTCACAAAGCAGAGATGTCCATCGCGGCAGCGCCACGATGGACATCGGCGGCAGCGGCAGCGGCAGGTTTTTTAAAAAATCACCGCGGCAGCGGCGCGGTAGCGGTAGATTTTTTAAAAATCATCGCGGCAGCGGCGCGGCAGCGGCGCGGTAGCGGCAGGTTTTTTAAAAGAACATCGCGGCAGCGGCAGGATTTTTTTGGGGAACATTGAAAAACTGCATGAATTTAATAGAATTTCAGGGTTTACAAATGAAACACCCCGAGACTGAATGAATCTGATGGACTAGTACCAATATCTCTGGTCAAATATAGTCGCAGCAGTGAAATTAGAAACACTTTTTTGTAAACCGCCGCGGCAGCGGCGCGGCGGCGGCACGTTTATTTCATAATTCATCGCGGCAGCGGCGCGGCAACGTTTTTTTTATAAGCCATCGCGGCGCGGCAACATTTTTTTATAAACCGTCGCGGCACGGCTGCGGTGCGGCAGCTTTTTTTTTCTAAGGCCGCGGCGCGGCAGCGGCAGATTTTCAGCCGCGATGGACATCTCTGTCACAAAGCAACGGTTACCAGAATGTTGTAAAGCATTTTTCGCTTTTTTATAGTTTAATTGTGTATCAAAGGATCTTCAACATCGAGCATCTAGCTTCGAAAGTTCTGAAAATAATGACAGTTTTAGAAATCTATGAAAAATTAGAAATACTGAAAGCCAACAAAGTTTTAAAACTTGTTTCAGCTCCTAGAAATACCACGAAATAGAAACCAGTGAGCGTAGCATTCACTCAGACCAACACCTCTGACACTTTTTCTTATGAGAACCACAACTAGAAATGTTTGATAGTGAAGTAGATTGCGCTAATAAGTGTGATGAATTAGTGAAGCTCTGATAGTTTCAAAGTTTTTCATCTAGAATAGTTTGTAAAAATTATTTTCTATGAAGAGAAGCCATATGTTTTGAACGGTATACTTGTGAATAATTGTTTCCTTGATGACAAATATCATCTAGTTTCGTTTTATTTTGACAAAGGACCTCAATGTTCCTGCTCTGACAACAGAATATATTTGAGTGTCCAACCTGAGAAGGAGTTCAAAACTATTCTATGTATCAGAAATCTCGATGAGTATCTCGAATATCAATATCTTACCTGCCTCCATTTAGGTCTCGAATAGAGAACTGCGGGACCACGTTTTTTGGTCCCGATCCCGGTTCCGGTTAATATTGTTTTTTAGTCCCGGTCCCTGTCCCGGCTGATATTTTTTTTTTAGTCCGGATCCCCATGGGCGGCGCAAGGTCAGTTTTGTAGGGGTAGCAATAAACTGTTAAATAAGCTCTGCTTTCTTCTCCTTACTCAGTCTGATGCAAAAAATTTTTTTCATTAGAACTGAACTTCTCGATTATACTGGATGCAAAGCTCGAGCATTAACTTCTCTAGTAGTGCATTAAACCCGCTTTAAATAGTATATGCACTTTTTATTGAGTACGTTTACTTCTTTAATTTTAGTCTTCAATCACTATTAGATGTTCACAAATGTTTATTATTAATAGGAAATAAGACGTTCTTATTCGAGAATGATATACAATTATTTTGTTCATTTTCAAAAAAATTTTTTTCTTTTGTCTTTTTTCGATAGAAAAGCAGTTCCAATAGCATCAATATCAATTTCATAATCTCGTTCAAACGGGTGTCCCATAATAAATGACCGGTTTTTGTATTTCAGATGTTAATCTTTAAAAATCTTTATTAAAAACCGAGTATACCACAAGATGCAGCGTGAAAACCTCTACAATTCACAAAGCAAGATTGATTTTGGTTGTTTTATTTTGATTTTGAAAAAGACAAAATTCTATACGACCACTTTTCGAAGGTGTCAAAAAATCATTCCTTCACTCTTATTTTATCTGCGTATCTCTTAATATGTTTTCTTTAAAAAAAGTATAATACACCAGAGGGTGCAGCGTGAAAAGATCTACAATCCACAAAGTAAAGCATATTTTGGTTGTGTAGTTTTTGTTTTCAAAAAAAAGTAAAATTCCGTGAGAATAATATCCATTGTACCTAAAAGATCATTTTTCTATTCCAATGAACAAATCATTTTCTTCTTATATCATCCTTTTATCACCTAATTGGTTTTATCGCATATACCTCAAGATGCAGCGTACAAAGTTCTACAGTGTACAAAGTAAAGCTTTTTTAATTGTATACTTTGTGTTTTGAAAAGAAACAAAATTCTGTGAGACCGTTTTGCGCAGCGTCGAAAATTGATTGCGCAGAATTCCATTTATTTTGAAAATACCAAGTATACAATTAAAATAAGCTTTTCTTTGTAGCTGAAGAGATCTTTATGCTGCATCTAATTCTAATTTCTGTGCTTTTTTAAAATGTATTTAAAGATGAAGATATGAAATAGAAAAATTGGCCATTTATTATGGGACACTCGATATATGTTGCGGGAAACAGATACATCAAGATAGCAATAAAGAATTCCTGAGACTAAAATTCAATCTTCCTACATAAAATACAGAATCACATCGAATATATGTATGTTGAATAAAGTAGTTTTACTCTAGAATATACAGGAATGGTAAAAAATTAGAGAAAGCAATAAGTTCTTATTGATTCCAATAATTTATTTTAGAGGTTGTAATTGCTAACTATTGCATTGCTAGCGCGCCGCCTATGCCGGTCCCGGTCCCGTTTTTTTCATAGTGAACATAAAAAATATTTTTAAGAAACCTATTACGGTGTCGCACATAAATGTGCGCCGTGTAATGTGTATATTTCTGATTCTACTCTTATAAATCGTCTAAAATGTCTATTATCTGTCTATATGTGAACATTGTAAACATGTTAATGTTAATAGATATTTGAAAACATCGGTTTTTGTTTTTTTTTATGAAATAATAAAAGAAATTATTGATCATCAATCGACTTGAAAAGACAATTGAGTTCTTTTTTTTATTCAAAATAATTTTTCAAGACCAGCTAAAAAATGGTTTCAGTCCCGGTCTCGTAAAAAATAATTTTGGTTCCGAAATTGGTTCCGCGGGACCGGGACCGGGACCAGTTTGCAGTTCCCTAGTCTCGAATAGCTAAAGTATCAAACTTTTTCATGTTTAGGCTCTTTCTTACTAGTAAATGTACCATGTTCTTTTATGCTTTTTGTTAAACTTGCACGAGCAAGCAGTTTTCTTTGGAACAAAAAACTTGAAATGATCATAAGTCAATACAGAGGAACTATGTCGTTATAACTAGTGAACATATCGAATCTACGTTTTTCAAGCAAATGCTTATCTGATCTATTACTCGTCGTTGTCGAAAACATAGAAACGCAGAAGATATAGATAGCTAAGTAGGAAACATAGATGTGATATGTTCACTAGTGATAACGACATAGCTCCTTCGTATCAACTTATGGTCATTTCAAGTTTTTTTCTTCCACAGAAAACTGCTTGCTCGTGCAAATTGAGGGCGTGGGTGTGTATGCATGGGGGTGTGGTTTTTCTGATTGATCATAGCTACACCCAGAGTCATCGTAATCGTTTTTATTATCCACCAATGCGAATAAAATTTCGGTATTGTTTCAGGAAAAAACAAGTCGTGGTAGACGGGTGTACTCACAATTCTTGGTTCATTCTCTTCTAACACCTGTGAAAAAAAAAAGTTTTGAAGGAATACTATTCGCTCTAATTAGAGCAAAAAGTATTCACCTTTTTTTATTTTTCATATTTATGTATAAAGACGTACACGGTTCAAATCTAGGTGTCTTCGAAATAGCATTTTATTTGAATAACATAGATCAAAGATTTGATAAAAAACAGACTTTCTACTTTCGTGAATTTCGTTTTCAATAAAGAAAACCACTCCCTGTTTAATGGGTTTAGTTCAGAATTTTTCTGTGAATCTTTTATTATGAATAGTTATCTAATAAAAATTTTTGTAGTCGAAGTTTCAACGGTTGTTGTTGAATTTTATAGAAATAATATTCAATGAATTAATCATAGTTACATGTCAAAAACAAGATAAAATGCACAAGGCTTCAAAAGAAAACGAATTAAAATAAATCTTTGAGCTTCAAATCATTTTCTTGTGAGCAACCTTCTATTTCGGTTTTTATCGTCAAGTTTATCTGAAGGTAATTTAGCAAATATCCAAAACAGCAACATATATAAACTTCTCCAATAACAATTGAATAATCATCAAAATTACAATTCATATACACGAGATACAATATCACTATAGCGTATTGTAGCCAAAGGATGATCTAAAACAATGTTCAATTATTTGTCAGGCTGTCATGAAACAAGAAAATTGAAGAGTAAATTTCTTTTGAAATGAACATACACTATTGACTTTCAATTAAATGTTAGCAAAAAAGAATCTATAATTTTATTGAAAACAAAAGTATAGAAGACTTGCATTGTTTAAGTTTTAATCAGTACTCAATCAAGTTTCTTTTGAAACAAGAATTAAAAATTATATTACGTAATGCTTTCTTTAAATCAAATCGATTCAAACTAAAAAATTCTAAAAGGAAGCTGAATCAATTGTTTTAGAAAATTAAAATAGATAGAGAAATTCAGTTCTGTTCTTTTGGAAAGGAAAGTATCAGTTCTACTTTCTGCTTTTTATTCAAAACCTTGCATTTTGCTATGCAGAACCACCATTCTTTGCGTTCATCAGTCCATTCTTATTCACTAATCTTTACTTAAAAGCCAAATATTCATTTCATTTTTCTTGAAGCACGAAAGTCATATATATGATCAATCTACGATTCGAGACAAAAGAAGACAGCAGTACAGAGAAACTGTATCTATATATGCTTCATGAATGATGAGGTGATCAAATATACCGGGCGAAAGATTCATATTCTAATATAAGAGGTTTAGATCGTTTTTTTTCGGTGATTAAAGTTCAAGTACTATTTTCTGTTGAAAAACTGGTTTTTACTCAGAAGAGATCCATTGAAATGATTGAATAACAATTTAATTATCAATGGAAATTTTCAAAATTTTGCAGAGTTGATATTTTAAGTAATTTTGAAACTCAGGTTTCATAGTTAGTACGAATATGAGATTTGCCACTTCTTGCTGATCTCCCAACAATCAGTTTGCAAATTAGTAAAATTTATTCAATATGAAGTAAAGTTTTCAAGTCAGGAATATTAGAAGAAAAAAGTTAATTATATTACTGAAATAATTAAAAATTTTTATAACGAAACGTTCGTAAAAAAGGACTAACTTGACCAATTTCTGCGTTTTTCAGTTATCGTTTGTGTCCTGTATCAAAGAACGATAAAGTACGTCTTCATGCATAGAAATACACAATTTTCTAAAGAATTGAATAATGAATCTTCTTATGAGAAAACTGTGTTGTGAAATGACTAAAACATGTATAGATACTTAGAAAAACGCTATAATTGTCATCTAACTATTTTAGCCTCCCTCTGTTTATCTTTTTTCTCGTCATTCTACTTCCAAAACTTCAAGTCATAGTTCTACGTGAAATAGTTATAATTTAGCACATGAAATATTATAATAAGAAGCTGTAATCAAAGTAGCGGTCATGCTATGTTTTCATTTGAGGATTAGATATTTCTCCGCCTTGCACCTTATTGTGCTGTCAAATATCTGCCCTACACTTTTTATCAATGATATTTATATTGAATAATACATTCAAATAATTTGGTCACTACGTGGTCGTTTCCATTTACACGTAAATAATTAAAATTATATTGTTATTTCCGGTCATTGATCATGATAAATTTAAACAAGTGTGAAAAATTCTTAGAAAACAAATTATGAATATTAGTCTCAGTAAAATGTCTGTGCAACTCCAGAATCGCACTACAGTTCTATATTAGTTCTGATCTTGGGTATTATCGCAACAGTTCTTTTGAAATGAGCTGATCGGTTTTAAAAGTTATTTTGAGCAGTGAACAGAGATGACATCGACTTGGTTACAGTCCGAACCATACTGAATCAAACCGAACTCTGTTTATTTCTGTAGAAACATGAACCGATCGCATTTCTGGCAGTTCATCTGAGCTTAGGACCTTCAACAGTTGCAGATCTTTAAAAAGTCCAGTTCTCAAAATAGAGTATCTTCATAGACATGAGAGCTCTCGTAGGTCCACTAGCATCGTATTTGATGAGCGTACTATGTAAATAAATTTCATACTTGATTCTTAAAAGCCAAAAGCAACTTGAGCTACGCTTTGTAAGACTTTTTAGATTTTCTCTCATTGTTAAAAATGATTCTGATAGAGGTGAGAAATTAATCAGATGTAAAGATATGTAGCCACCTTCCAGAAACTGAGAATTTCAAGGAAATCGATTAGGATTCAATATTATCTTCCTCATTACACAGTGTCTTGAATATCTTGAATTCCGACTCATGTTCTATTGAACTTCCAGTTTTGAAATGATGAGTACTCCTAAATGAATGACAAAACTTACAGTCGAAAGTTGAGTTCCAGTAGAAGAAAAAAAAGGAAATATCGATCATTATCTATGGTAAGAAGAGTGGTTTACCTTTCTGTTCACAATATACTTCGATTTTCATAAAATAATAATAGTTTTCCTTACAGTTTTTAACCAACATGAGTAGTATATTGGCTCGCTTTTGCTTTCAAATAATACAGATTTTATCAATGCATTCACTCGTTTTAGTAAAGTAAATGTCACATGAAAAAAATTTTACTTGATTTCATTCATCCATCTAAAATATGAGCAAATTTCATCGAACATTTAAAGCCAAAATAACCGAAAGAATAGTCTTCTTATTTGAAAAAGATTTTTCTTCTGAATAGATAGCATATATGAAGAGACTAACTTCTTTACTCAGATATAACAAAGATTAATCTTCCTTGTGAGGCCTTTTCCACTTTCAAAAAGAATTCAGGAATAAAATCCTCTGTCTTCTTAACTATAATCTAATTGGAAATCTTGAGTGATATTTTGCTATTGTATATTTAAAAAATTCAACAAAGATGATATCTATCCATAACAAAGTTGAATTTGTTATGTCTTCCAGTATTAGATTATCTAACTCTACGAAATATTAGAACTTTTTCTATCGGATCAGAAATAGTTTTTTTTAATGTATGACTCAATTTGATAGATTTAACTAAGTTTCTTATAGGAATTTTTTGAGCTAAAGACAAGAATTATGACTGATACCGATTCAAAATGAACAATCTACACATTTGTAAATGATAGTATCGAACTTAGTGTAAAATGATATAGGTGCGGATTTAAAATCTTCTTGGTTCAGTAGACGAAAATAAAATACTACGCTAAAGTTTCATACCTCGGTTGAATAATCTTACCTACGAAAGTAAACATTCAGAAGAAATTCGATTTCTTCGATGTATTTAACATCTTATTTTCTTCTTTTCTTTGTATGAAAATTAGAAAATAAAATAATAAAAGTGAGAGTGTAACATCGGTTTGTAAATACTTTTAGCACTTACATCTTCCATAACGAAATCGAATAGCCAGTATTCAAAATTTCTGTTCTATGCATTCATCTTCATTGAAACTGCACGAAAATGTCGATGATGTCTACCTTTAAATCATTGTAAAACAGATTTTGTGAATTTATAACGAAACATCAACCCTTTTCCGTTTTTGAAACAATTAATGCACCATATTTCCAAATCATAAATAGAAAAACTGTTCATTATCTTCGTCATATACAAAAGCTGGATTTATGTCCAGTTTTAAACTCATGAACCCTATCTCCGTTTTTTTCATTATCAAAAACATTTTTTTCCGTGTATTATTCTATGGATTTTTCTTACAGTGATCTCCAGCATCATTTGGCTTGATAATAGTGTGAATGATAAAGAGTTTCGAGATGCGGAACAAAAGTTGGACTCTGTTACCAATCATATGAAGAAATTTCAAGATGTAAGACAATGTCAGAAATATATTGAAGAGCAATCACAAAACGATCGATTAGTAATTATTGTTAGTGGTCGATTGGGACAAGAAATAGTACCTTCTGTTCACAATCTTCAACAAGTTATATCAATATATGTGTATTGTATGAATAAAGGAATTAATGAACAATGGGCTTGCAAATATACAAAAGTAGAATTAAATTGAATGAATTCGATTGTATTTTATGATTTCTTGTCTATAGGTAAAAGCTGTTGTTGTTCGACTTGATGAACTTATTTTTCGAATTACGACTGATCATAACATTCAGAAAATGGAGGATGGATCATTGCCAATAATTAGAGTTACTCCACATGATTACCCAGGTAACTCAAAGATATTCGTGTATAGTCGAGTTCTTCTCTCTTTATAAGAGTGGATGTGAGTATTTTTATTAGCACTAGTCAAACCGATATCAACACCCATAACCACGCCTATCGACTTCAGTTTTAACTGATAAAATTTAAAGTAGAACTTCAATTTTAACTTTTAAAGCAAAGCTAAAGTGTCAACTGGATTATTCTTCAAGCTAGAGCTTCACTAATTATTACCTTCAGAATAGTTAATCAATCAAAGACAGTGTGAATGAGAGCGTCGGTACCCTCATTGGTGTGAATATAGTTAACGGGATGAATATGAGCAACAAATATGTCAAAACACACGGAGGCATCCGCATCCACCCCAGATTTGTAACTCCTGATTGTAGTGACGTCATGCTTTGTGCAAGAGAGTTTTACAACCAATCATCTTCCGATTTCTAATTCTTTCTCTTATTTTTTTTTCTCAATCATTCACTGATGAAGAATGTCTATCATGAATTCCACCGTTCACTCTTAGGAATGAACAGTACACTCCCAAGATAGGAAATAGTTCCGTTCGCAGAAGAGATGGCTTACAATTCAAAGAGTCAAAAAACGCTTTCTTTTGAAAGAAAAACAGGCGTTATTTGTGTCCATTTGAGTGAGAAGAAATTACACATGAACAAAGCAAAAATTTTTCAATAGTTTCTACCTTCACAAGTACAAGTCGAAAATAGCTTAAGAGCAGATAACCATCTTATCACTTCTTTACAGTAAGGAATACACGACTATTTGAATGGAAGTGTAAGGATGACCATGGTGAATGATAGATATGTGTATATGCTTTCATTCTATTTTTTCTTGATATGTACGACTTGAGACAGAAAGATGCATTATTATATAAGTTCGAACATTTTCCCCATCGATTGATTCTATTGTACGCTGGCGTGCATTCCTTTCGTTTATTGATTATTTTGAATCTTTCAGTTTTTTTAGTATGATTGCGAGTGTGTATCTTCTCCTTGTTCCCAGCCACACCCAATACTCGCGTTCTCTTTTAATTTATCAATAATCAAATTTTCTTCAACAGGAAAGCCTGACATTGACGTCGATGATGAAGTATTAAAATCAGCAAAGGATGAAATAATATGCGCTCTTCGCTTGGAAAAACATAAAGAAAAACATAAAATTATAAATGATTTGTTAAAAGATGGTCGACAATCATTGTCTAATCATAAAGTTGAGTTCGCACCAAAAGTCTACACAGCAGCAATAAATGAAAACAATGGTCAATTGATGAGATCCCTGAGAAAGTACTTTGAACGACAATGGAAAATAAAATATGGTTCTTCAAATCAATGGTTTAAGTTATTTTTAGAAGAATATAAAGATTCCATCAATTATGATTCTGTTCTGAATCGTACAGCTGAATATGGGCATAAATACTTGAAAGATTGCCCAATCTTATCAATTGTTTTGCAACTTCTATTTGAAGGCATTGATGACAAATTTTTCGGTGAAACAAATGCATTCAATGATTTATGGTGTACAATAACTAATAATGGTTTAAAATCTATAGAAAATTTTTCTGATAATAAAAAGCAATCGGTCTTATTGCAAGCATTACGTGAATATTATCGTCCAAAATTATTTGAATTATTAGAAATAAGTGAAATCCAAGATGAAGACAACTTGTATGAATCAGCATTAAATAACGTTGCCAAATATGGTTGGTTGCAAGGTTTACAAGAAGTTGAAGAGAGAATAATAGTGAGACATTATAACACATTACGAGCGAATATTCCTGTATTTGACGATACATCTGGAAAGTCAAGTAAACTTGATTTGATTAAATACCTTGGTTGTTTATCCCTTGAAAACGCAAATATTGTTACTGTAGAAAAAGTTCCTTCAAAAAAAGTTGACAATTCAGTTTTCATATGCGAGTATTTTTGTATTGCACGATTCCAATTAACTATATGTGACACCAGGATTTTTTTGGATCATGTGTACGCCCAAAGACTCGAAGAAAACTTTATTTTTATTCTCATATTTCAACACATACAGATATGTCATTTGACATATGTTGAACACAAATATGATAGTTGCAATGAATAAAACTATATTTCTTATGCAGTAATATTAGTGCAATAAGAGCTCCTATGACAATACCCTTGAGATTGTTGAATCTTTGAGTTACACTATAAAGGACAATTACTGCCAAAACAAAAATAATTTTCATGTGTAACTGAAAATTTTTTGTATCGAATTTTAATATAAAAGTAAGCCCTTATTCTCCAAAAAGTAGTAGTTTCTTGGACAACTTCGTCAGAGGTGTCGAGGAGCAAGGAATCTGAGCTGGTGAGTTAATTCTACATGTTTCGCAGTTTGATAGATTTTTTGTGAAATAGTCAATAGAGATTCTGAGTTCTCAATTTGGATACTCTCTGACCAAACTTTATCAGTAGTCAGTATTTTTCCAAGAAATACTTTTTCTGTTGAAAAGTTCAAATCAGTTGAATCTTCATGGCACCTTACTAAAGATAGGACAACTTGTTTTTCCTAATAAGTAAACTATGAACAATATAGCTTCATTTTCGTTCATTTCGATTTGCTTTTTTTCCTACTAAAATAATTCCTTTTTGATATCAAGATATGGCTCTGTAAGAAATCAAGAACCATTGATCAATCAGAACATACGAAGGGAGAAAAGCTGAAGTTTTGGTTGTTATTGATAGATTTTCTCTTCACTCATATTTTTCTATAGGACGATAATTCTATGAAAATGCAAAAAAACGAGTGAACTCTATTGTTTACTTATTAGTGTAAGATGTTAAAAAGTCAAATTTTGGGTAAGATTTAAGGAAAAAATGTCTTTTGAGCACCAGAAAAAAAGACAATTGAGCACATAATTAGTTATATGTGAAAAGAACACCAAAAAAATAAAACAAATGAGCACTAAATTAGTTAAGTGTGAAAAGAGCACCAAAAAATAAGACAATTGAGCACCAAATGAAAAAAAAAACAATGTAAAAAAGATGACTTATGTCTTAAACAGATAGAAATTATAGTATACACATATAAAATCATTCAATTTTGACAAGGTCAACTCGAATTGACGATTTACTGATCAAGGGGCACAGGCTGATAGTATGTATTGGTGTGGCTATAGAGTAATGAGATCTACGTCCTAACTCACACCCCAACCTTCACCCTCACTCTCACACCTACAAAATAGTATCTTGGGTCTAGGTTGGTGTGAGTGAAGGTTAAGACGTAGATCTCATTACTCTATAGCCACACCAATACATACTCAGCCTGTGCCCCTTGATCAGTAAATCGTCATGAGAATCGTCAGTTCGAATTGACCTTATCACAATTGAATGATTTTATACGTGTATACTATAATTTCTATCTGTTCAAGATATAACTCATCTTTTTTACATTGTTTTTTTTTTATTTGGTGCTCAAATGTCTTATTTTTTGGTGCTCATTTCACATATAACTAATTTGGCACTCACTTGTCTTATTTTTTGGTGCTTAAAAAACATATCGTCCAAGATTTAATATGTGACGAAAAATTAATGGATTTTTGGCAACATTTCTTCTTTTTCTCTTCTTGTTATGTTTTAAACAATGTGGAAATAATTGATTCTGATTAAGTATCCAATATTGAATAGAAATATGTGATTTGATAGAGTTTTAAAATTAGTAAAGTTAACAAATCCTGTCCATTGCTGATTAACGTGAACATACATCTTGGGTGTAGGTGAAATGAAAATCTGTTTATGGGTACCACAGTTAGTCATTCTTAATGCTGATTACATCGTTCAGAACCCAAAATAGTCGATAATGAATAGTATCTGGTATACAGATTCTTGATAAATTCCAATGATATTTCAAATCTGAGAGGAATGTCTCTAAGCTAGCAATTACGTATATACACATTCATCAAACGAAAAGGGTGCGTTTTATCTTTATTAATAGAGCTACAAATGCGTTAGATTTGAAAAGGTGTACAAATTCAACTCTACGGAAAATCATTGAACGGATACTGATTGCTAAATTCGTACCTAGAGAACGAAATGCTTTTTAAACTAAAACGTTCAACTTAATTGATTAAGCTAAACATATAGAAACAGGTGTGAAGTGTGGGTGGCCGCGTGTGGGTGTGGATCTTCTATTCACCCACTCCTCGTGCAGTGTTATCATCTCCCATGTACAATACGAACTATTATTTATTTTTTAGTTCAACCCAAAGTAGAAGCTCCGATGTCAGTAAACGAGCGATCATGTATGTTTGGTCAAGATACTCAAATTTTATGGAAGTTCAGTGGCATTGGGAAACTACGAGTGACATGGTTCTTCAATGATCAACCATTTCCAAATAATGATCGCCTGCAAGTAACGGAGACTGATGATGGAACATCGATATTAACAGTTCGTCAAGCTGAACTTGGCGATCAAGGTGTCTATACTGCTAAATCAACCAATGCTTTTGGCGAAGCTGAAGCTCAAACAACATTAAAGATTGATTACATCAAACCTGCCATCAACACTAATCTCAATACTGCACTGAAAGTCACAAAAGGTGCAATCTTGACACTAAAAGTCGTCGCCAGTGGAACTCCGAAACCTCACACTGTCTGGATGAAAGACGACAATGAACTTACACCCAATGATCGCATTCAAGTGACGATATCGACTGGTGACGATGACAAATATACACTGACCATCTTAAATGTACAACCAGAAGATGAAGGAGAGTATTCAGCCATTATTTCCAATGTTGGTGGATCACTTCAATCCGATAAGTGCAAAGTTATTGTTTCGAGTAAGTCACATTGACTATTCTTGTTCTTAAATACATGTGCTGTTGTAGAATCACCTATGTTTATTGTCAAGCCGACGCCACAAAAAGTAAAACAAGGTGAGACAGTCTTGTTCAAGACACAAATCGATGGATATCCAACACCTACTATCACATGGCTTCTCAATGGCAAACAACTGACAGCGAAAGAAGGCGTTCAAGTGCAATTCGATGCTACGACTGACCAAGCGAAGTTGTCCATCGAAAACGTCGATCTAGAACAACATGCTGGTTCAATTACTTGTCGGCTGGAGAATCTTTATGGCAGTCAAGAAGAAACTGTTCGACTTGATATTCTCGTTGCACCAACAATCATCGAAGACTTGCCCAAGCAACCAGAAATTGTAAGTAGACGAGATGTCACACTGAAAGTGGTTGCAAAAGGATCACCACGACCTTCTGCACAATGGTTCTTCAAAGATGAGGTTATCAGATCGGAAAATACGTCGATAGACGAGTCCAAGGGTGAATATCAACTGTTAATCAAAAAAGCAACGGTGGCGCAAAGTGAAGGTACCTATCGAGTCGTGTTGAAGAACGAAGTTGGTGAAATACAGTCGACTCCATGTGTACTTACAGTACTGGAACCAGTGAAGTTGACAAAAGTGAAACCGGCATCGAATGTAATTGACTTGCAAGATGGCAAACAATTCGACATTGCTGTGGATGTGAGCGGCAAGGAAACACCGACAGTTCAGCTGACAAAAGATGGAAAATCAGTGCCGTTCACAAGTGTGGAAGCAACGCGATACACATTTGCAGTAGCTAGTGTAAAGCGAGAACATCAAGGTGTCTACAATGTGACAGCAAAGAATAAGACTTCAACTGAAGAGACGACTGTCACACTCAATGTTGTTACTGGTGAGTTTTCTTACATTTCAGAAACAAACTTTGCAGCGCATCCATTATGTACATTCTCATGAGATAGAAACTTCTTAATTGTCCTTTTATGTCCTTGCTTAGCCGGATGGGAGATAAGTTTTGTCATATGCATGAAAACTTTCACATGTAGTGTAAAATAGAGCGAAATTTTGTGAATACTATCTTTTTCATTCATACTCACGCATAATATATTCTTTTAAAAGTTCACTGTTCGGGATTTTCATTCAGTTAACGTAACTAAGACAACAATCTTTCAAAGATTTATCCAAACATGATACAGCTCGATAATGCGTCTTTAAATTGGTTTGAAAAGTTTAAATTTTCTCTTACAATATTTAAACTATGAGCTGCTCATAGGACGAACTGAGCGAGAAAATGGATTATAAAAGTATTTACAGTGATGTGTAAGATTTCTACCAGGCAAAAATATATCATTATTTATTGTCTGTTTTTTCGTGGTGGTTGGATGATGTATGAGTACGTTTGGATTGGTTTTCTCTTCACCTCGCAATCTGTAGTTTTTCCTTGATGGAAAAGCAATGAATACCTAGAAAATGATAAGTACCAACGTTTGATTAGCATGATATTATCACAAAAATTAGCAGAACTACTCGTAATTTCTAAACTTGTACTTTTTATTACGTATTCGAAGACAGACGTATTAGAAAAAAGTTCAGTTCTTCCTGTACAAATTTTTCGAACATCTTTTCTCTGCGTAAAAAGGAGAAGAAATAAGTTTCGTCCCAAGGTATATCTCAAAGTCAATTTGAATCATCATTTTTATACGTTTATCGAGTCTTTTATGAGAAGAGTTCGGATTGACTGTCGCATCTGATTTGAACCATTGATATTTGGATATCAAATGAAACAATGTAAGTTGTTGTTGAGTTAGTTTGATTATTGAGATATTTGCTTTTTAAATGTCAATGATAAACTCTTATACATAATTCAAAACTCTGTTACTAACTTAGTTAGCAGTCCTTTTTTTCACAGTAATTGAATTTCAAGTAGAAATCAATAGGATGTTCGGAATCAACAAAAGAGTCAACATTACATGTAAAACATATCAGCTAATTTTTTTGATGAAAGATAGATCTGATGATGTGCACCTTCCGGGTGTGCGTGTGGATAGATTGGTGCACACGTTCCGTCGACGAACATCACTATTCCACACGCTTTCGTTCGACTGTTCGTGCAAATCCTTCATTTCTTTCTTAGTTGCTTTTATTACCAAGTTTCTTACAGTTTCATTGATTATTTGAGTACTGTAAGCGATTTAGATTACTGACAATCAGGTTATTACTGTAGCTCGTCTAGTTTGACAGATTTCTTTATTTCATGGAAATTCTATAAGTCTCTATTTACAGATGGGTTCCTAAACTTCGTTAATATGCATGGAACTTCTAAGTTTCTAAGATTCTTGTTATTAAAACTTATTCTTGGGTTTCTAGATTTTCAGAGAAGTCGAAAAATGATGAGACTCAACAAGAAAAATATATGACATCCTTTTTGTTTTATTCTCTTGATCGTGTGTTTATGAAAGACATTTTTTTAAAATCTGTCGTTACATTTTTGATCATGAGATGTTTTCTTCATCGAT